GCTATTGTGAAGAATGTTGTACTCTACTTCCAAACAATAATTTTTTAACAAGACCTTATCCGAAGGAGGAGGCTTGGAATGATATAAAACCAGGGGCGGAGGCACCATATAGATAATGGGGTCAGCTGACCATAACTACTTTCTAAAATTCGGTTATATGTTTTAATGTTAAAACTAATGAACCCAACTAGAATTATCAATTGATCCCATTGAACCAATCCAAAACTAATTTACTTACATAAAAAATCCAATATTTTCAAAAATTGATTCCACTTACAAACGAAACCCAAAAGAATAATACAATCTTTAATGATTTACATGGATTAATAAAGAAATACACCTAAATTATATTTCTGATAGTAAACTAAACAATAAACAAAGTCTATTGTCTCTTCCTCTCCTATTGACGAAGGAGAAAACCCCTAAATTTTTGGCCTCTTTAAATCAAGGATACTTCCTTTGCTTTTATTGTTTTCTAAAAAATTATAATTCTTTTGGGATATGATATGTTTGTTATAAATTTTTTCTTTAAGAGTTTGTAAACTATTTTTTAAATATTTTTCTGATCTCGGTTAAAAACAATTATGCCTCCGCCACTGTATAAAACGTAGTTATAACTTTGACATGTGGTGTCGATAGGCATCATATTAAAACTATTTTCTAATACTTTTGTTATTCAGTTCTTTTTGTTACAAAATTATAACTAATCAAAAAAGCCTAGAACATTTCCTAGATTATGCACATATACGTAGTGGTAACTAATAATCAGTTGGGATATTCAAATCTTGTGAAGCGCGTTAATTATTAGGTGGCAGTGAGGAATAAACGTACGTAGTTTATGAATGTGTATCAGTGCGATAACAAACAAAGTGAAATTTTATGTTGTGAACAGACAAAAACTTGTGGTCGACAAAAAAAATAAAGGGCCATGCACCTGCATGCAGAACAACATATCGACGTATATCTCGATGAAAATATATATTTTATCTTTTGGTGAAATTAATAATTAGATACTCCCTCTGTTTTTAAAAGATTAATGTTCTAGAGTTTTCACATATATTAAAAAAACAATCATTATTTAGTTATTTGTCAACTAATTTTTTATACAAACATTTTTTAATAACTTTGAACCAATAGTATTATAAAATAGTTAATCATTATGTTTTGAAGTTTACGATATATTAAATTTAATCAATAAAAAATAAAACAAAAACCTAAAAAATTAAATTTTGTGGAATAAAGTAAAATTGTATAACATCAAATATCTAGGAAAAGAGGGAGTACTAGTTAGTGTTAATGATGATAAATTAAATATAGGTACGAATGTGAATGTGGGATTGCAGTTTGCATGGGCTTAGGGTTATATACAAATTATAAATGAGAATATTTAGGGGAATACGTGAGCACTCCCACAATACCCTCACCGCCTTTTCGCCGCGACACCGACATGCGACATCTTTTTCTTTTGCCTTCTTTTTGTTCTTACGTTTTCCATTTAAAATTTCAATACTAACTAAAGCTTTTTGGAATTCAATATACATTAACACTATATAAGATACGTGTACTTATAAGCCTTACTTAGACATCTCATAACATATATATACAGCTACACCACGCGCATACATAGGCACAGATGTGTACCTTTATTATATATATATATATATATATATATATGAGCCAGCCGTATATATACATAACTATATAACCCATAGGGACATATCTTGGTTGTTGGAATCAGACTCGGACCATTATACTTCGAAGATGGTCGAGAATTTGTAACTCTCTAAAGCTTATTTTAGGGTTTAGTTCGAATCCCACATTTTTCTGCTATCGGCTTTGTTTCACCGTAAGAGGTAAAAAAAGAAGAAGCTAAATTTAAAAATATTAAATGGAGATATATTCATAACAAAGCAAGACATTAATATTGTGCATAGAGAGTCATACACACAGATATTTATAAATGGCAAAGACCAGATAAAGCTGAAAAGATAGCATCACGCTCGTATTCTTTTTATTTGTATTTGATTTCAATTTATATATTTTGTTGTACTAATTAATATATAGGTCAGGGCTCTCGTTTCCTGCCATCTAACCCTACCCGTCCGATCGATCAATTTTTTATTTTATTTTTCACCCTATCTCTTTTTTTTTTAAATATATATAATCTTTTTCTTTCGACCGCTGGACTGTGAGATTTCCATTCACAACTCACAAGCACGTACCTATGATTATGAATGCGATGTCCAGGCTTGTGGTTGCTAAATTGTTTATACTTTTTTCAAGAAGAAAATCATATTTTATTGATAATTATAAAACGAAAGCTTTTAAAGTTTTGTATTTTATTTATAATTCTAATAATTACGGATTTTACCCTTTTTTTAATGGCATTTATGGATTTTGCCATTTTTTTAAATAATTTATGGATTTTGTCTTTTTTTAGGCTCCAAAAATATGATTTAACATGGTTTCATTCGTTATGTTTGGGTTTAGTCGGTTCCAGTTGTTTTTAGGGTTTAGTATTTGATATAATGTACGTATTTTTGCAAAAAAAAAATCATAAATACGTACATTTTTAAGTGTTAAAAAGGGCAAAATCCATAAATTATTAAAAAAGGCAAAATCCATAAATGCCATTATAAAAAAGGGCAAAATCCGTAATAATCCCCCAGCCCCTGGTTTTCCTCTGTACAACTTTTTATTTCTTAGATATACTGTATTTATTTAAACTTTAAAGAATAGATAAATAAAAAAGAAACAAAAACAGAAAAGAGATGTGGAAGCCTCCTTGGCCCATTGATTGACAAAAGGTTGATTAATGTTTCTACACCAAGAGGTCTGAGGTTCGAGTCCCAGGTATTGCGATTTATTAATAAATTTGCAGATTAATGGAGGCAAGTGTGCAAGAGATCTCCAGCGATGTACAATTATAGCCGTTCGCCAGGATTCTACGCAGAGAAGGAAGTATCGTCAGAACGTAGATCATTGAAAGTATTCATCAAGATTACAAAGAAAGGAAGTGTAGTCTGTCGTGGATCTAGTAAGGGTCGGAAGGAATTGTCAGTTGTAGAATCGTCTATGTAACAGTTCTCATAATTTGCAATTAATAATAAATCTAGACGACAAAAAAAAAACAGAAAAGAAAAGAGCTAGATCAATATAAAAAGGAATAAGGAATGTACAAAGTTTCAAGGTTCAGGCGTTGAATACGAACTTTGGAAGTTTTCAAAGTACCCTTAATCAAAAGCATGTATACTGCTACTCGAAAGGGGTATATCGGACATATCAGAGTTGGTAGAAAAGATAAAACATTGTATGACAAGTGTTACGTAAGTCTTCTGAAGGAAAACTAGATTAAAAACAAAAACAAAAACAAAATCAAAAATCAAAAGTAAAGCGATCCGACAAACACAATCCGACAAGATTATTCATCTTTTACGATTTTTCATGCAAAGATTTTTTTTCCAGAAAAGAAATACATGAGTTTAAACACTAAAAGAAGTAACTTTCTTTTTCAGCCAGAGGGAGCATAACTGTACGGACTTCTCTTACAATATTCACTACACATATAAAATCTGCTCTTCCATCAATCCTTAGCTTTAAATATGATTTTAAGATTTAATTCATTGTGGAGCTCAAACCTCAGACACAAAAAAAGGCATTTCGTATCTAAAGGACACAAGCGTGGAAGCCAAAAGCATGTCACAATAACTTTGTAAACTTTGAACTTTTTTTCAGGCTTTTTTCTAGGCAAAGTTGTTCAAATTTTATTAAGGTTATAATGAAACCCATGCTAAATTAATCATGGGTGCTGTTCTTATAAATTATGTAAACATCATATAATTCGAGAGTCATACATTTAATTACACGTCTAGCCATATATATAAGTGGGATGCTATTAATCTGGATCAGAAACATAAGATTCTGACTCCTGAAAAAAAATTATTCATAAAAAAAGGGAATTATATTATATGATGATTACACATATATATGCTCGATTGATTATTACGAAGTATAATGGAATAAAAGAAAACCCGCCAAAATCCATATTGTATACATTGGGGAGCTTTATCTACATCTAGTTAGGGGTTTGCTTACTTGGACTGTTTCACCGGAAAACGTAATTCCGTGTTACAGAAAAAAATGAAAACGTAATTCCATGTATACAACTACGTGGAAAATATGGTTTTTTTTTTATAAATATTATTATCACGTATCTGAAAATAAGAGGTGGATGAAAATAATAAGAAAGAAAAAGAGAGAATTAAGTGGTAAGAAAATTAATGGTGAGAGCGGTAAGAGCCGACAACAAGGACAGACGGAGCCGTCTATGACCAACAACTCCCTTCTGATAAAAGTCTGTTCTTCTTCTCCAAAGCCTTTTTTTTTTTCTAATTGAAATTATTTCGATAACTATCATCGGTGTATCACCGATTACTACTCCCTCCGTTTCGTTTTAGTTGTCATTTAAGGTTTTCTCACACAAATTAAGAAAAGCATTAAATTTTCTGTTTTACCCTTTATTAATATATTTTATAAAAAAATTCATTGGCCGAAACATTAAAACAGTAGGGATAAAACTAGAATTTTTACCAAACATTTACATTGAAAACCGAAAACGACAACTATTATAAAACAAAATTTTAACTCTAAAACGACAAGTAAAACGAAACGGAGAGAGTATTAAATTTTGTTGTTTTCAACTGCAATCACTATCTTGATGTCATCGGTTTTAATTCATATGTTTATTTATTTATTTAGAAGAAGTAAATATATAGGTCGTGTTATTATACACAAATAATAAAAAACATGTAATAAAGAAAGAAACAATAATAATTAGAGGAAAACAGAGGTGTAATAGTAGTAGTAGGCCTCTATAAATACTCTGCATGGCTCTCACTCTCTCCTCACCAAAAATTTGAGCCAATCTCTCTCTCTCTTCCTCTCTTACTCGTCTTTAATCTATTCTGTTGAAAAGAGAGATCAAAAATGCAATACCAGACAGAGTCGTGGGGATCATACAAGATGAACAGCATAGGATTCGGCGGTTTGGGGATGGTGGCTGACACTGGTCTCCTTCGCATAGAGTCTCTGGCGGCTGAGAGCGCGGTGGTGATCTTCAGCGTGAGCACGTGCTGCATGTGCCACGCTGTGAAGGGTCTCTTCCGAGGAATGGGCGTCAGCCCCGCCGTCCACGAGCTCGACCTCCACCCCTACGGCGGCGACATCCAGCGAGCCCTCATTCGTCTTCTCGGCTGCTCCGGCTCCTCTTCTCCAGGGTCTCTTCCGGTCGTCTTCATCGGCGGCAAACTGGTTGGAGCTATGGACAGAGTCATGGCTTCTCACATCAACGGCTCTCTCGTTCCTCTCCTCAAAGACGCCGGAGCTCTCTGGCTCTGATCCCTCCCTCTGCTCTTTTTCTTTGTTTTTAAAGGTTTTTTTCTAAGAGAATGTGGTGGAGGAAGCTCATTAGGAAACTAGTCAATGCTGTAATGGCAGGTTTTAGGTTATAGTTTGTAATTAGAGAGAGAGTTGTTTTAAGCTCACCTTTCTCTGTCTCCCTCGCTCTTCTTCATCTCTTTAATCTTTCGAATGCTCTCATTAAATCATATACACTTTTGCATCTTTATTAATGTCTCCTGGATCCCTTAAAGCCTTTTAAATCTCAATATCTAATCAAAGCCAGTTCCTGTTATTTGATCACACTAATTTACATACATACAAGGGACTTGTTTAGATCAAATGATATAAGCCAAGTTCACAAGTTCGATACTTTTTTTTGTCGATCATCTTAAATTATGCCCTACTCTGTCTAATCTATACAAAGCACATACTCTATGAGTGAGATAGGTGAAGCTTGAAGCTCTGAAGAGACTTTGGTTTGAAGATGTTACTTAGCAAATACCCCATTGTTGTTTCATGCGAAGGCCGGCTTGTACCAAGAACAGAGCAATCCTCCTTCTTCTTCACCTTCAGCTTGCTCACTCCTATCTGTTGTCTGATTGACTCCACGATTTTTGATTCAACCGGGTTTCCAGTCACGTCTGTAACGTAGAACGTGTCTTTAGCCTTACCCTCTCGCGTTGAGATCTCTGCTCTCACAATGGTTAAGCTGTTCTCTCGGAATGTTCTGGTTATGTCTGAGAGGAGACCAACTCGGTCTTCTGCTGATAGTTCCAGCTCTAAACCCTGAAAGTATGTTTCATATGCATAATCTGTCTCAAGTATATCAGCCAAGACAGAGAGATGTCACATTCCTAATTGGTTACCTCGGATGCTCTCCTCTCAATGGCTGCTTCCAGACATTGTATGACACGTTCTTGCTCCGCTTCTGAGTTTATGGGAAGTCCATCCACATGACGGATGTAAAATTCCTGCAGCACAACACTCATATTATTGTTAGAAAAGAGATCCCAACAAATAAAAAACCGTTTAGTTAGTTACCTGATAAGCCTCCACTGGTTCTGTACTGACCATGCCATGGAACACCACATACTGCATATCAGTCAAAGTACAGACTACGTCAAACACAAGCTTTGGTCTATCTTTGGACCTCATGGTAACAACGGTATAATCCTTCTCAATGTTCATTAGTGTGACACTGGGCCTTGACGCCGATGTCTTGGCTCTCTTGACTCCCTCGTAGTCCCTATCATCAAACATGATCTGATGCAACCGTCTCTCCCTGTGTGTATCAGAACAAGAGAAAACTGTTTTCGCAGCTCTTGAACCGCTGTTTGTCCTAACTACATTGCAAAGCAGCTCCTTAATGGTGGAAAGGCGAATCGGGTCAGTAATGGCTGAATTAGTTAAATTGTCCGTGACATGAATAACCGCTGCAGCTCTAGTGTTGTGAGTCCATATCTCAGCGTTCACAACGTTGCAGTGAAGGTCTGTGAGAACAGCAGATACTTCAGACAAGAGACCGGGTCTGTCAGTTCCAGCGAGCTCAATCGCTGTGTATTCGTCAGTGGGCATTACACCAACTGAGCTTCTCAAAGGTGGAATGAACCAGCCAGCGTTGCTCTCTATCCTCTGCGCAATGATTTCAACAATCGTTTTACACAAAAAGAAGAAAAACCTGTTGAATTGATCCCAAGTTAGACACGGCCGGAAAGAAAAAAAGTGACTACATAACATACCCTTTGGATATAGTCAAGGACTTGTGTGTCTCTGATCTTATTGCCATCTTGGTCGATGACTTTGAAGACGTCCATGAACCAACCTCCATCGGAAGAGATGTAAGCTTTCTTGATCACAAGATTCATATCAGTGAGCACTTGCACTACTTCCAACAGAGTCCCATGTTTGTTGACACTATCAACCTTTGTAACACCACAAACAAACAAATCCCATCAAACAGGGAACTCTGTTTAGTTGGTACACAACCACTTGAACAATTTGAAAAGAAGATTTTTATACCTGAATAACAGTGGCATCGTCGCTTGCGTTGTTGTCTATTACAACTCTGTATCCATGAAACATACATAAACCAGAAAATTCATAAACAAAGATGAAACTTTTAGCAGCTGAATGAAATCCTTACAAGGGTATTATTGAGGCTAACAAAGGAAGAGACCAAAACAGAAGAGAAAAAACAATAAAGTACCTGGGAGGATTCATTCTCCTGATGAGCTTGGCATATTCATCATCATCCATGGTTGTAGTATGTATCTCCTTGTTGATTTGGGTGCAGCAGAAGAGAGAGTTGGAAAGTGTGAGTCCTCCAATTTTTGTGGAAAATAAATCCCAAAAGAGAGAGGGAGAGGGAAGGTGAAGGAGGATAAAATGGTAGGCCAGAACCGAACCCTTTTTCATTGGGCCCGTTTTGATGCCCCCAGGATCAAGCACGTGCCACTAAAGATTCTTAGAGATGACGAGGCACGGGCACAGCAACTTTAGATTCTGTTATTGTTCGAATACTAGCAAAAGTCGGTAGCTCTGGTGAAGATTTGGGGTCAAATTGATGATCAAAAAGGGATATATTCTCCATCTCAAGATTTGGTATTTCCTACTAGTATAAGAGATCTGAGGTAAGACTCTCTGTAACGTTCACAGCTGCATGACCAAGTGTAACAATTTGATTCTTTTAATTTTTTAGATAATGATCTCCTTACTTATGGTTTAATAATAATTGGCAGAGAAACAAGGAGAGTGGCAAAAAAAGCATAACGTCCTCATGTCATGTGGGTTGCAAAAAGGAGGCAAAGTAGAGCAAGCAAAGCATTTTTAGATTTTATTTTGTTGCGGATTCCATTTCCACCCACTTGAAAAATTGACATCTCACAATGATTTTGTGTCCTAATTAGTCTTTTTTTATTTAGTTAGGGACATTGTCACATTACTCTTTCATTAAGTCAACCAAGACACACGGTTCTTTCAAAAATCCACTACCCCCACCTAGAATCTTGTGTGTTACCTACCCAGACCCTTTTTTGTTCTCTTTTAATTGGTCCAACTAAATAAATCAATGGTACCTAAGAAAGCATCCTTAGCTAGGAGGAATTGCTTTCATTCTTACTCTGTGTCTTCTTGATCAATGGACTAATAATAACAAGTTCCTATATATATACCAAAAAGAATGGAACAGAAGAAACATAAACGAAAGAAAGAGTACCTGATGTGTGTGGAGCTCCCTTTATGCTACAAATCATTCATTGATAACCAACCATGTATTAAATTATAAACCAGCAACACGACGAGATAAGTTTGTAGCAAAGTGAAATTGGGAATCTTGGAGATGGATGGGTATGGAAAATCATCATCCCTGACAAAAAAAGCAGGTCCTCCATTACAAAACAAGTAGAGAGAGATATGGTTGGGGGCTTGGGGGCCGCCGGGAAGTTGGGCTTGAGTTGGGCTTTTTACTAAAGAAAAATAGGCTTTTTAATATTCGTTGATAATATATAACAAAAATACAAACTGGAAAAACAACAACATCGTTATCAATTTAAAAGAGGAAGGTAAAGGAACGTGGATCATGTGATTAGTTAGGCAGGCATTTGCTCTTTGTTTCGTCGTTTTGGTAACACACAGACAGACAGAGAAGACTTGTGGTAAAGAAGAGCTTTTCCAGCTTCTTATTAGAATGGCGATCTAATCAAATCAAATCACTCCCTCCCTTAATTAATTAATTAGTCATCTGCTGAATTTGGGAAAATGGAAAATCCGGCCAAGAGAGTGTTGATGACATCCAACGGCGACCTGGTTTCCCGAAACATCGCTTTCCATCTAGCCAAACACGGTTGCAAGTGAGTCTCTCTCTCTCAGTATTGTTCTTTCACTCTCCTCCTCCTCCTCCTCCTATGTTATGTATGTGTTTATTCTAGCCTCAATCAATTTGGTGTCTATAGTTGGACTTAGAAATGCAACCTGTACTTGTGTGATGGTTGTTAGGTTGGTAATGATGGGAAATGAGTCTTCTCTAAGCAGCATTGTAGACAAGATTAGAGATTCCATTGAGGGAGCCTTCCCTGTCGATGTGATTGCACTCGACATGGAATCTGATTCTGAAGATGCTTTCCATGCCGCTGTCCAAAAGGCATGGACCTGTTCCGGCTATTTCGATGCTTTTCTCAACTCTTATTCCTACCAAGGTTTTTCTATTCACTACCCTTTGATGCTGCTCTTCTGTTGATCATTCCTTTCTTCAACATCTTTCTTTCTTTCTTTCTTTCTTGCAGGAAAGATGCAGGACATTCTTCAAGTTTCTCAAGATGAGTTCAACAGAATCTCAAAGATCAATCTCACCGCTCCATGGTTTCTCTTGAAGGCTGTAGCCACAAGGATGAAAGACCATGGATCAGGAGGCTCCATTGTCTTCATGGCCACTATCGCCAGCGGTGAGAGGGTGCTTTACCCTGGAGCTGATGCCTACGCTACTACCTCTGCCGCTATTCATCAGCTTGTTCGGGTATATACATGCATCCTCCCTCCTAATTTAACACATCTCGTAACCCTACCCACCGTTTGTTCATGATTGGGTTTCCAGGCATCAGCCATGAGTCTAGGGAAGCACAAGATACGGGTCAACATGATCTCTAGAGGGCTGCATCTGGAAGATGAATATCCAGCTTCTGTCGGAAGAGACCGAGCGCAGAAGCTGGTCAAGGACGCTGCACCCCTCGGCCAGTGGCTCAACCCGGACACAGACCTCTACTCCACTGTTATTTACTTGATCAGCGATGGCTCACGCTTCATGACAGGCACCACTGTCTTGGTGGATGGAGCGCAGTCCCTTACGCGACCCCGTCTCAAATCCTACATGTGATCAAAACAGAGTATTATAATTCTATGTTGTGTGTGTTTACTGTAAAAAGTGAACATGAATCAAGTTTGAATAACTTTGGAGGGATGAATAATCCATCCATCGAAGCAAAGCAATGATTATATACTTTTGACAAATATAGAAGAAAGCAAATAGCCAAAATAGGCAACAATCTCAACATGATTCGAGCCCACTGTTTATTTGAACAATCAACTTTGGTAGGTGAACCTCAAATACACGTGATAGGGATATTATCTTCTTAACCTTGCTATATACCAAATTGTTAAGCAAATAAGAAAAGAATGATTACCCTCAGAGATCTAGATGCTTGAAATTTGAATCCATTGCACCAAAAGTTGAAAGTCCAAGGAGTTGCATATATATATATATATAATAATGTAAATGAGAATGGTGAAGCCGCCACACCTTTTTTACTAATTCCACCAAACTCTTTTCTTTGAGATGGATCCGCTAATGTAGCCATTTTCAATATATCTCACTTTCTCTGGCATCTTCGCTGCCGTCTACGTCTCTCTTTCTCTCCCTTCCCTCCTTGCCTTTGAACGGCGCATGTGTGTACCTTCTTTCAAGTTCCCACCATAAACGCATAGGGAGTTAAGAAATGGAGGATAGGAGGTGTCAGGTGTTGTTTCCATGTTCATCATCGGTTGATCCTCGCTTGACAGAGTATCATGGGGTCGACAACTCGGCAGAGTGTGCAGATCAGCTGACAACATCATCGTTGTCACAGCAGAACATGAACACAAACGAAGAAGAGAAACCCAAGAGTAAGAAGAAGAAGAAGAAGAAGAAGAAAGAGAGAGAAGCGAGGTACGCCTTTCAGACAAGAAGCCAGGTTGATATTCTGGATGATGGATACAGGTGGAGGAAGTACGGCCAGAAAGCTGTGAAGAACAATCCATTCCCCAGGTACCTAATGAGTGATATGCTTACTACGCTGATAAAATAAAAGACTCATAAATGTAAATACGTATAGGAGCTATTATAAGTGCACAGAAGAAGGATGCAGAGTGAAGAAGCAAGTGCAGAGGCTATGGGGAGACGAAGGAGTGGTGGTGACCACATACCAAGGTGTGCATACACATCCCGTTGATAAACCCTCAGATAATTTCAACCACATCTTGACCCAAATGCACATATTCCCTCCCTTTTCTTGAGTTACTTAGGGGGAGGAATGGGATTGTACTTTTCTTACCAAAAAACGTTGGGCAAGAATGTTGCTCAAGTGTTCGTTCATCAACAACTTTACTTAAAAACAAGTAAACATATCAATCTATAAAGCCTAAACACTAATCCTTATCTTTGGGTTCCTTAATTGAATGCATCATCTCCTTTGGTGACTTGGTCTCGGCTGCCCTGAAATCGAAAGAAAACATCATCATCATCAAACTGTTTTACGTTCGATCTGTCTGTCAATAAAAGAAGAAATGAGTGACTCTTGTGGTTTCTCAAATTACCAAACCTAAAGAAGCAATAATGCTTCTCGCTGAGTCTATCATCATCTACAAAAAAACAACTCGTTATGTATCCCAATTCCCAACCGACCGATTATTCCAAAACTAGCGACAAGCTATGGAATATGGATGGTGAGGAGACAAAATCGAAACCTTCGAAATAAACACATTCGTGATGAGAGAGAGAAAGCTAACTTGGAGGTTTCTTCTTGGATCCAATTGCGAATATGCTTCACGTTTCGCTTCAAAACGGAGGCCGATTGCTTCACGTCGCCCTTCAGGAGGATCACCACCGCGCTAACGCCGGCCACCGTCAATATGAAGTTGGTCAGCCCCATCCCCCACCAATTTATCAAAATATCAAAAATCAAACACAGACAGACAGACAGACAGACAGACAGAGATTTCATTCAGTTTTGTCATTATTTTGCTGGGCCCATTAGCCTCTCGATGGGCTCCTGTACTTAATGTTAAATCAGCCCAACTTGTACAAAAATGAATTAGGAACTAATGACCAAGTCATCTGGAATATTATTATTGTGTCGACGTAATAATAATATACCTTTGGACCATTTATTTAACACAAAAGCAAATATACAACAGAATATGTTATCACATAACAGTCAGAATCTCCTCAAAAGATATGCTTTCTTTTTTTGCCCAAAAAAAAAAGATATGCTAACAGTGGAGAAACACACATTAATTTCTTTTCTTCTTCTTTTACTTGTGATTAGAAAGCGATGAATATTTGATCTTGGTTGATAACTGATAAATGTTGTCTTTGTCGATGTTAATGGAGTAAATCACTGCCACTGTTTTTTTCTTTTTAATGACTCACTAGATTACAACCCGCACTATGTGTGGAAAGAAGTGATTCAAGTAAAATTATTATGATTAAAATTTTTATGTCGGATCCAAGATCCGTTTGTGTAAAAAAAAACATGTAATAATTTTTTTTATTTTCTTTTAATTCAAATTTGGGACTATTTCGTATATGAATACGTTTTACCCGTGAAATATTTAAACCTGGAATAAAGCTTCAACGTGATAAAGAAAGTATTGACGAAATGTTACCATTTATGCTAATATGCCTTTCTATATCTTTTAAAGATGTCGAGAATGATATTAAAAAAAAAAAAAAAAAAGATGTCGAGATTTAAGTATAAGAAATCTAAAAATTTATCAAAGATGAGATTCGATAGTTGTCAAGTTAAGATTTTGTAGTGTTCCAAATTATGATTCTTAGATTATGAATGGATTACTACGAAATAGTTATAATATGGCCAGATTTTAGTTTATAAATAAATGTGGTTAGTTTTTCTTCGAAAAGTTAGAATCCCTAAAAAAAAATTGGATTTTAAGTATCGTAACATATATTGAAAAGAGATTATCTTATGTATTTAAGTACAATAGATATAAAAATTTATGAAAGATGTAGAGATTTTGTAGTTTTGAATTCGAGATTCTTGAACCAAATGTATATATTTTATTATTTAAATATAAACATAAGTATAAATATAAATTAAATACAAAGATTGTTTACCCATCGGCTTGAGAAGATTTATATAAATGTATATAAAGAAAAATATAAATATAAAAATTTATTAATATAAGATAAAACAAAAAGTATATATTTTTAATTATTAAAAAATAGATCATTAATATAAATAAACAAATCACTCTGAAAGCGACACGTCAGCATGGCAGTTTAGTTAATAACACGTCAAAGTAAGGTTTATTTTTTTAGAGTGCTTCTCTATTAATATATAAGGGATGTTTTTGTGGATAACATGCGTTATAATATTATTTACAAATATAGCATCCCAATTGAATAATTTCTCTCAAATAACGAAAAGATAATCATACATATTTAGCTAATTATATTAAATCTTTGGTTATCAAAATAAAATTGTTGCCTTTTGCCGCCGCCACACAGCCACACAAAGATAATGTTATTCGCTTGTGTTTATTTATAATATCTCTGACGAATAATCTTATTCACATTCTTGATTTTTTTAAAAAATAAAATAAAATTATCCACCTTTTCTTCACTCTTTTTTAAAGATGCCACTGATGAATCCCTTATACGAAAAAGGTTATTTACACCAAAAAGAAAAACCGGATAAAATCGATGGTTCCTTATTCTCCTGAATTATAAACACTTTGATTCACAAATTTTAATTAATCCGTTCAAGAGAAAAATATTGTAAGCGTACCAATTAATGATCCATAATTTCATTCCGTCGGTGACCATAAACGATCTCCTCTCCCAAATAAAGTTGATCTTCATCTTAGTAGGTTTTACAATTTAAATTGAAAAATATGTTTTGTAATGACTGATTGTAGAGTTTAGAGCCATCCATTACTATTATTTCATAAAACTTATAGAAATTAAATATCTATATAATTACAAGGTACATATCTCATAAAGTGTCTACGAGATATTTCTCATAAATCGTACGTATCAGCTTTCTACTGCGGAAGAGGGATAATTAATAAGGAGTGTAACTATTGAACCTTGATTACATGTATAACATATATTTGAAATTTTAAAATTAGATGTGTCGTCGTGGCTACTTGAGCATGGAAGTTGAGATCTCGTCATCAAAATGTGATGCTTCTGAGTGATATTATTACAAGAGGAAGGACCACGCGTCTTTGATACCTCTCTATCTTTCTGCATGTCTTCGTCACAATGTAATCAACGAAACCCTACCTAATCCCGTATATATATATATATATATATATATATATATATGCAACAAACACACTAAAATGAATCCATGAAACACCACCTATCTCGGGGCAAAAACAGAAGTGGTAAATAATATCATGGAGATGAACAGAAGGAGATCAAGAGGGTTCATGATAGCTAAGCTAATGCCCTTTTGCAAAGCTGTGAAATCTCCAACTCCTTCACAAGACCTTTATAATAATGTTCATTACACTTCTTCCACTACGACTTCCTACGCTCGTCAACCTGATTTCAACAACTACGTAACTGCCACTTCGCCTATCCCTCCTAAAGTTAGCTTCCTCCTTCAACCATGTAAGTAAAGTAACCTTTCTTTTATATATAACTACTTAAGCTAATAATATAATTGATTATAGCTCTCTATCTTTCATATATATACACGTGTATAATTAGTAACTGGCAGCCGTGGCTCCTGAGGGTAAGGATATGGAAAAGAAGCTGACCATGATGGCTGAGAAGCTGATCGGCAGAGGGATTAACGGTGTGAACGAGTGCGTTGACGCTAGAGCCGCTTCTTATATCTCTTCGGTTCGAGAAAGGTTTAAGGCGGACCATTGTGATCAGAAACTGACGACTGTTATTAGCTTAGATGATGAAGATTGACCATTAGGATTTAAGTGGAGTTACGTAAGTCATAATTATGTACTGCTCTACGTTACTTCAAGATAAGGTATTAATGGGAATTCAAGCTTTTATTTGGGGTCTGTAATAAGTAGGCGAGGTTGTAAGTTACTTTCTAAATATACTCTTTACTTAAAACCAAAAAATAAAATTCAAGTAATGGCAAACTTAATTATTGTATGACAATACATATATAAAGATCAGCTCAGAGGTTGTAATTAAACGCGCTTATATCCTAATAATTAAATTAGCCCATGCTGCATACATGTTACATGGTTCATAAAAATGGTTATTCCACAAGGAAATCAGAGAAGGGGCCATGACGTGTGGGGGAAGGTAGGGTTAAACTAGGCGGCGTAGATGTGGATGTGAAGGGCGATGAGGGAGATGGTGATGAAGGCGAAGAAGAGGAGAGTGTGGATGACAATGGAGGGGCCGCTTGTCTGAAACCTACCGAACTCAACCGCTTTGCTCTTTCCGGGCAGCTGAAACAGAACTCCAGGGCTCAACAGGATGAAGAAAATTACCGACATTAGCACCGGTCCCCAGTCCAACCCCATCTTTGTTTTCTCTGTTTCTTCTCTACATATATATGTCTCTCTATATATACATCTACCACTTTATGTGCTTATATTTATAATGTATGCCTGCATGTGAGGATGAATAATTATCATCTTGATGTCACGATTAATTAAAAAATTTGTGGCTTGGGCTGGACAAAAGTGGAGGGTTCTTCTCAAGTTTGTACGATGAAGGAAAGAACTATTCTCTGACTAGGCCTGGGCATTTGGGTATTCGGGTCGGGTTCGGGTCGGGTCTTTCGGGTTCGGGTTTAGAAATTTTGGACCCGTTGGGTTATATGTACAATTTTGGGTCGGGTTCGGTTCGGGTTCACTTCGGGTCCGGGTAATTCGGGTATTGGTTAAAGAACCCATAAATAACCAAAACTATTTCGGGTTTGAGTACTACTTACCCAAACTTTGTCCAAATATACCCAAACATACATAAAAGTACCCATAAAACCCGAAAGATCTGAAATTATAACAAGTTGTTCCTTAAGACAATAATATAAAACAAGAAGTAAACTTTGTTTTGAGTTTGTTCCATAACTTAAATCATTAAACAAGTCACATATTCAAGTTATTAGTGTATATATGTCCTCATATGTGTATATATGTTCGGGTAATAAAATGTACTCACGGGTATCGGGTTCGGTTCGGGTAATACCCGATACCCACAGTTATTTGAAAACAGAACCCGATCGGGTAATTAGCCGGAACCGAAGTAGAACGGGTTCGGGTATTTCGGGTCGGATTCGGTTCGGTTCTTCGGGTTCGGGTATTATGCCCAGTCCTATCTCTGACTGATCATTTTGAAATAACATCTATTATCTGTATAAAACTTAAATTTCAATATTTTGATAGTACTTTGCTTGTTTTAAAGACCAAGCATATGATTCTCCTCTTCAGGCATTTCAATTCATAAGCTCAAATATAACACGTACGTCGTATATGCTAAATTAATCTATTGCCAACTATAACATGTTACGCGTTACGTTCTTGCTCCACTTATAAGTTGATGGGAATACAATTGTCCATCCGCATGACGGATGCAAAATTCATGCAACATATATATAACTCATATATGCTGAAGTAATTTTAAAACTTAAATCGCAAAAAATATATATAATCACAAAATAAACACAAAATCAGACTAATTAATGCCATAATTTTATTATGCACTAACGCGGTTACCCAATCAAATCAGGTAGTAATGAAATGGGGATAAGATCCACATGAGGAAAGCAAAAGAATCGAAACCAAACCAAAAAACCGCAATCAAGTATCAAACACTTTTAACTTTATGTAAAGTTTATATCCATAGCCACTAAATGTGGTCTCTTAAAGAAGCCACATACATATATCTATCCAACAAGAAAAGCAGATACCAATCAAGTCTCAATGTGCCTTCTTTTGTCATCCTTAAATAATCTCAATAGTTTCTGAATTTTTAAAAAGTAGTAAAGTACACACCTATAATCACACGTTCACAGATATACCAAATGCATTATATATAAAATGTTGTTCTAAGTAGTTTTCTGCTGAAACCTAATAAGACGATCGAATCTTTTTGGAGCTCTAATTGAGGTAGATATGGAAGGAGCGGACTGGGGGCCGGTGGCGGTTGCGGTGGTGCTGTTCGTAGTGTTATCGCCGGGGCTTCTCTTTCAGTTGCCAGCGAGGAGGAGAGTGTTGGAGTGCGGCAACATGACCACAAGCGGCATCTCAATATTGGTTCATGCCATTCTCTTCTTTGCTATAATCACGATTTTGGTCATCGCCATTCAAATTCACATTCACATCTAACGTATCTTTACTTTAATCACCCGCTTATGTTTGTAGTATTGTATCCTTGCTAATATTGTTATATATATATATACATCACTCATGTGTTTGTTTTGTTGTTGTTTCCTATTAAGATAAAAGTTTACAAGTAAACTTGTGAAACTTCCCAAAAAGAACTGACTGAAGAAAATCAAAAATAGAGTGAGAGTACTAGCTAGTACTGGTAGAAAATAAAATACTTGAGAAGAAATAAATGTTTGGTTTGCCTCGTTATGTATATTATACTAGTATATTATGTTATGTTTTCCCACGATTCATTAAAGAAAAATAATTAAAACTAAAGATTGCATTCGTATCAGCAGCATTTATGGCGGATGATTGCGATTATTAATGCCTGTAAAAACGTGTTTTATTTTGTTTCTTTTGAACTTTCTTTGTCGAAACGAATCATTGCCGTAAATAATCAATATATTTGGTTAGAGGGAGCAATCACTCTAGTCAATTCGTGTAAGCAATCGCAAATTCGCAATAATCGGTGTTTCTTGACATATAGATTTGTTATGAAATAATATATATATACACTTACAAAATAAACCATGATCTCACAATCGATAAGGAAACCAAAAATATAGAAAGTAATGACAGAACGAGGCTAAAAAATATTAAATGCATCACCAGATCAATTATATGTGGCTGCATATACATTTAAACCTCTATAAATTAATACTCGATAAATTTATAAACACGATAAAATAATAAATTTCACCGGTCCCAAATCGGGCCGGTGTAAATATTAACCAAATTTGATAAAATAATAAGATAATAATTTTTTTCGAACCCCTATATAAAAATATGGTCCCAATAATATCATAAATTAATAATCATGTGAATTTACATATATATATATATATATATATAGATAATATATTTTTAGTAGTTTTTAAAAATGAATTTCTATTCACAAAATAGCTTCCTTATGTAAGTTTTCAAAATTTAAATAAGTATAATTTTTATTTAAATAATCATATAAACCGTTCAAATACAACAGTTGAAGTCACTATGTTACATATTTTTTTGTATCTATAATATGGTTATTATTGTTTTTAAAAAATTGTCTTTCTTCTAAATTTCTATACTATTAAAAGAGAAGTACAAATGCAAATGAGTCGGGTCAAAATCAGAAAATTGATCCAAAATTCTGAAATCGGATCTTTAATTTTTTTTAGAATATGATTTCTAATTAATATTTAATAATGAAAAATCAAACTAAAATCAAATATTTATGAAAATCAAATAAAATCTGATTGTATTTATGGTAACTAATTATAAAAGCATTATAAAAGCATATTCCGAACAATACTATACATTAATTACGTATAATATATTTGTTCATATATTTTTGGAACTAATTCCATAACAAATCAACGTTTTTGTCATTAATTTTGCTTATTTTAGGTAATTATCATTAATTGAAAGATATCTTACTTGCTTCAAAAGATTTCTAGAAAATTTATCACAACTAACCCACGACCCGCGGGTAGCATATATGAAACACAAACCTGTCCCGCGAATGTATGCTGATTTGCGGGGTTGTCCGTGAATTTTGTTTATATAATTTTAAAGTAGCAAAAATTTAAAATACTACTATAATAAATAAATAAAACAAATTTAGAGAAAATAATTTTATATATCATTATATTTATAAATAGTATAATTTCATTTATTAAAAGTTTTTTAAATTACCAAATGTTGAATAAATTATATTTTATCAATAAATACTAACATGCGGGCTGATCCGCCAACCCTCGGACGAAAACCGATTAAAACCTATGATCCGCTGTGAATCAATCCATGTGGCCCGTTTATTTACGGATTTAATATATTTTCCCAAATCTGCCCCATAGTGAGATGATTTGGGCATGACCCATGGTTTTTGACTTCTCTAATTCCTATGAATCGTCTAATTTTAGAATTCTAAAACATAAAATTCCATTTTGTAATCATAATTAATATGATTGGTTTAATTATAAAAAATTTAATATTTTCTCTACAATTCGTTATTATGAATATTTATAAGTACACTACACGATTCGCTCTACTTAAAACACGCACAATATTAAAATCAACGTATGTAAACCAATATTCTCCCGCGGTGTACCGCGGGTCCGATCCTAGTATTAAATATTTAAGTATAAAACAACCAAAGTTATTACATCCAAAACATTACTTTTATTTAGATCAAATTATTTTCTCTCATATTTTTTTGAACAAGTTTTTAAAATTTTAAAAAACTCTCTATAAATTAATAAATTATCATAGTCCCAACATTATTAATTTATAGAGGTTTTGCTGTATATGGGATTTATTTTGTATCGTCGAGCAAACGCAACCTGTGTTGCAAGACATTTTTGTTCTCTCTATTCTGAAAATATCTAAATTAATTCATTAAAAAGAAACATACAGAAAAGGACTCCCCCAAATTCTCCTATAAGTTGACATTTTGAATCAAATATTGTTTCTTGTATAGATTTCAGGTGAATATATTGTTGTTAGAAAAATGTGTTAATAAAAAAGCTACTACTAGTAATTAGTAAACATTGGTGGTGATCAACTGAGTGAGATTTTCTTTAAGAATTATAATAATTAATTAAGAATTAGCGAGACCAACGGGGTGGACAAGGCCAAGTTGAATCCTTTTTTTTTTTTTTTTTTACATTTTTTTATAACAGTGTTAATTTTTCCTTTTTTGTCGGCTAGTATAATCAATTTGTTTTTTGTTTTTCTTTGTCGGCTAGTATACTAATTTTTTTTAGTTATCCGATTTAAATTCAACTTTCTAATTAAGACCTGTAAAAATGTTTTGAATAAAATACTAGTATAATGGGAAATATATCGTTTTATGTTTTGTCTACTTATTACAGCTTACTATACTAAAACATTTTTTTTAAGAAATAGTAAAACCTGATTAACTTACATATAAGTCTTGTGAAAGATTAAGAAGGAATCTTTAATATGTATCATCGTCAACAGACAAAATTAAAAGGTTGACAAAAAAAAAAAAAAAAAGGCAGCATCTGAAAGAAAAATGGCGAGGACGACGCGAGAAAGAGTGAAATCGTTCATAAACAATAGATGGTTAGTGTTTGTTGCGGCCATGTGGATTCAGTCTTGCGCTGGCATCGGTTACTTGTTCGGCAGCATCTCTCCTGTCATCAAAAGCTCCCTCAACTACAACCAGAAGCAGCTCTCCAGGCTCGGTGTCGCCAAAGATCTCGGCGATAGTAATTTAGTTTCCCTAAAGCTTGAACTTGATTTTTTTTTTTAATTTGGATTAAGAAAGTTTAGTCATTTCAAGATATTGATGGTTCTGTTTTGTTGATTTTGTAGGCTGAAGGATTGAGACCAGTGATGGTTTCAAGGACAATGGGAGGGTTCACTATCAACATTATTGACGTCCCTGGACTTGTGGAAGCTGGCTATGTCAATCACCAAGCCCTCGAGTTAATCAAAGGGTCTGTAGCTACTCTTTTTCCATTCTCTCTTCGTTCATTGTCTTAGTCTCTTAGATGACATTTTGTTTCACAAGCTCTTCATTGATATGATTAGATCTACTTGTTGCATATAGGCTGAAGTAAATATGTGGTTTAAATGTTTACTTGTGGGTTTTTGTTGAAATTTTTAATTATGTGTTTTCTCGGATTTTGGACAGGTTTCTTGTGAACAGAACCATACATGTCTTGCTCTATGTTGATCGTTTGGATGTGTATAGAGTCGATGAGCTAGATAAGCAAGTTGTCAAGGCAATCACCCAAACCTTTGGAAAGGAGATATGGTGCAAAACCTTGCTTGTTCTGACTAATGCTCAGTTTTCCCCTCCCGATGAACTTTCCTACGAAACTTTTTCCTCCAAGAGATCTGATTCTCTCCTCAAAACTATCCGTGCTGGTTATTTATAAATGTACCTAAGTCTCCTAAAATAGTTTTACCAATGTATGTTTGGTTCATTGTAGCAAGAATCTGTTTCATTCTTCTACCGGTTTGTACGATTTTGCAATCGCGGTAGTCTTTGCAGAGAACAGCGGAAGATGCAGCAAGAACGATAAGGACTAAAAGGTTTGTGTTTTCGAATCTCTGATTTGATCCAACTTGGAGAGAGACTGACTCTTTAAAGTTGCTTACCTGCTCTTGGTTTAGGCTCTTCCGAATGGTGAAGCGTGGATCCCGAACTTGGTTAAGGCGATAATTGATGTAGCAACAAACCAAAGGAAAGCAATTCATGTAGACAAGAAGATGGTAGATGGATCTTACTCTGATGATAAAGGAAAGAAACTCATCCCTCTTATCATCGGCGCTCAGGTAAGAAAGAAACATAGTTTGATCTAGGTACTGTCTTGTTCGAATTTGGTTAACAAGTGTAATCCTTACTTCTACTTTTCAGTATTTGATCGTTAAGATGATTCAAGGAGCAATCAGAAATGAGATCAAGACAAGTTGAAAGCCACTTTAAGAGGCTATGAAGAAGAGGTTTTGTTGTGACCAACTTAGAAGGAGAAGAAGAGTTTTTCTATTGTTCTTTCTTTTTTTTAGGTTTTATCTGCAACATTTTCTTGTTTCCGGCTTTATCTTTGTCTGCAATTTATGGAGATTTGTTCCAAAAAAAAATTGCCATGTTTTTTGGTTAAATTAAATGGATGTTTCCAATACATAATATCACAAAAAAGGAATATGTTATGTGCTGAAGATACGAAAAAACAAATGATGATGTCTCATCTGCTGAAGTCTATTTTGAATCAAAGAAGTCTTTTAGCTGATGGGATTAATTGTTTTGCATCCTTGGAGATCAACAGAAGAACATAACAAAACACAAACACTCTAAACAAGATGGGCTCTGCAACAGGAGACATTACCACCAAATACACACTATATCTTCCTTCCCGCCATTATGATGGCTCTTTCCTGCAGATACAAGACTTGCAGACTTGATACTAGCATCAAAGAAGACACAGTGTTGTTGTTTGCATAACGATCATTTGGGTCCAATACCTTCAAACCTCTGCGGGAATTCAACATAGAAGATTCTATCACTACCACCTTCCCTCGGAGCCATGGAGTTGTAGATTATGTAGTGTTCAGATGAATGACATGATTGCTCTGGTCCTAACCAAAGCAATTGATGGCTCTGGTCCTAACCAAAGCAATTGATGGCTTCTATCTCCCATAGAAAGACTAGCATTGGTAGTCTAATGCCAATGTCTGTTAGATCATCAAACACT